ATTTTTTAATTTTGAGACAGGGTCTTGCTAAGTTGCTTAGGCTGGCCTTGTTCCTCCTGTTCAGCCTCCTGAGGTGCTGGGATTACAGGCTGGCACCATGCCTACACTACTACACTTTAAAATATACTTTATAAATATTTAAATAATTTCAGACTTACAAAATTTACAAGAATAGTATAAAGAATTCTCATATATATTTTTTATCCAGATCCAATAATTAAACTTTATCATGTTTTCTTTTTTTGATATTTTTTTAGTTGTAAATGGACACAATACCTTTATTTTATTTATTTATTTTTATGTGGTGCTGAGGATCAAATCCAGTGCCTCACACAAGCTAGGCAAGCAAGCACTCTATCACTGAGCTATAATCCCAGTCCTTATAAAAAATTATAAATAATTTTTGTCTGAACTGTTTGAGTATTTTGAAGATGTTATTTCCCCTTTCTCTTAAATCCTATGTGTATTTCCTAAAAAAAAAAAAAAAAGAAATTCTCTTACATAATCATAATGCAATAATCAAAATTGGAAAATGAAATAGCAATATCTAATATAGACCTTAAATTTTGCTTGTAGCCAGGTATGGTGGAGCACACCTGTAATCCCAGCTGCTTGGGAGGCTGAGGCAGGAGGATCGCAAGTTCCAAGCCAGCCTCAGCAACTTAGCAAGGTCCTAAGCAACTAAGTGAGACCCTGTCTCAAAATATAAGATTAAAAGGGCTGGGAATGTGGCTCAGTGGTTGAGCAGAGGACCCTCTGGGTTCTTTTTTCATCTCTGGTATGAAAAAAAATGGGTTGTCATACTAATGTAGTAAGTATGTACCGTATTGCAACTTTTCAAGACTTGCTTGTTTTGCTTGGCATAGTTTGTACATTCATCCATGTTGCCATGAATAGCACTAGATTATTACTTTTATTGATGAGTAATATTCTATTATTTGAATACACAATCTGTTTATGCACTTACCGGTTGATGAACATTTGGGTTATTTCCAATTTTAAGCTACTATGAATAAAAGCTGTTATGAACATTTATGTTCAAGTTTTTGTGTGAATATGAGTTTTCTTTTCTCTAGGATAAATACCACCAGGTGTGATTGCTGAGTTGCATGATAAATATATATTTAAATTTACAAGAAACTACCAAACTCTTTTCCAGAGTAGCTCTATATTCTGTAATACCCCAGCAACAAATGAGAAATCCACTTTCTATATTCTTTCCAGTGTCTGTGTTTTTAATGTGCATTTCCACAGTCATTAATAACATTATGTGATTCATGTATGTGCTAGCCACCCATATTTCTTCTTTGATAAAGTATTCAAATACTTTGCCCATTTAAAAAATGGTTTCCTTATAATGCTATTTGAAATTAGCCAATCCCAAAAATCCAAATGCCCAATGATTTCTCTGATACAAGGAGGCTGATTCATAGTGGTATTTGGAGGGTGGAATGGGAAGATTAGATGAACTCTAGATAGGGCAAAAGGATGGGAGGGAAAGGGAAGGAGCATGGGGTGAAAAAGATGGTGGAATGAGATGGACATCATTATCCTAAGTACATGTATGAAGACACAAATGGTGTGAATATACTTTGTATGCAACCAGAGGTATGAAAAATTGTGCTCTATGTGTGTAATACGAATTGTAATACATTCTATTGTCATATATAACAAATAAGAATTTAAAAAAACTGGTTTCTTCAGGTGCTGTCATTGTGGCTCAGCAGTAGAGCACTTGCCTAGCACATGTAAGGCCCTGGGTTTGATTCTCAGTATCAAATAAAAATAAATAAATAAAATAAAGGTATTATGTCCAACTACAACTAAAAAATAATATTAAAAAAAACTGGTTTCATTTTTTTTTCTGCTTAGTGTAGGGGTTGGTACCTAGGCACTTAACCACTCAACAACATCCCAACCCTGTTTTTTTTTAAAGACAGAGTCTCATTAAGTTGCTGAGATTAGCCTTGAATTTGTGATCCTCCTACCTCAGCCTCCTGGATCACTGGGATTATACCTGTCTATGGATTGGTATGGTGGATTATTTTTTCTTATTGTTGTATTTTTAGAGTTCTTAATATATTTCTGAATACTTTGCTGGAAATATGATGTGCAAATATTTTCTCTTGGTCTGTATATTATCTTTTTTTTTTTTTTTTTTTTTTTGGAGACAGGATCTTGCTAAATTGTTCAAGGCCTTGCTACATTGCTGAGGCTTGCTTACAACTTGTGATCCTCCTGCCTCAGCCTCCCAAACCATTGGGATTACAGGTGTGCACCACCATGCCCAGCTGCCTTTTCATATATATATATATATATATATATATATATATATATATATTGTAGTTGGACACAATACCTATGATACCTTTATTTTTATTTATTCTTATATGGTGCTGAGGATCAAACCCAATGTCTCGCACATGCTAGGCGAGTGCTCTACTGCTGAGCCATAAACTCAGCCCCTGCCTTTTCTTTTTTAAAACAGTGGTGAGGGAGAATATGCTATGATTGAAGAACTGATAGAAAGGCCAGAGTGATTGAAATACAGAGAATAAAGAAAGTACATATATGGTGAGGCTAGAGAGCTAGGAATTTACAGGCCAATTAAGGAGTTTAGTATTTATTTTGAAGGTAAGAAGAGGCTACCAAATGCTATTTAAGCTCAGGGTGACATGAATGGATTTGTGTTTTGAAAAGATCACTCCCACTATAGTTTAAATAATGGATAATTGAAAAGGGCTAGAGTAGTTTTATGTAAATCAAAGTTGAAACTTACTACAATAATCTAAACAACACAGCTTAGAACAGGATAATGATAGTGGATAGGGAGAAGAATGAACAGGTTCAAGAGATAATAAGGAAATAAATTCCAATTGTGTCCAATATTCAGGGAAAAGGTTTAATACTTCAATACTATATTGGATGTTTAGCTATGTTTTTTTCTTTGTAGGCCTTTGTCATAAGGATAAAAGTATCCTTCTTCAATTTTCTGGGAGTTTGTAAAATAGATCATAAATAGATGATGAACTTTGACAAATGCTTTTTCTGAATAAATTGAGATGATTATGTGTTTTTCCTTTTTTTTTTTTTAATCTTTTTCTCTGGAGTGATGGACTTGCCTTACCACTGAGCTACACCTGGAATTCTATGCATTTTCTTGTTTATTCTATGAAGAACTACATTTACTTTTTTTTTAGTACTAATTATTCAACTAGATCCTATGCGTTCTAGGCAAGCACTCTATGATTGAGTTACATCCCTACTTATTTTTTAAAAAGTTTTTATTGTGCTGGGCATGGTGGTATATGCTTGTGACCCCAGCTACTCAAGAGGCTAAGGCAGGAGGATCCTAAGTTTGAGACCAGCCTAGGAAATTTAGTGAGACCCTCTTTCGAAATAAAAAAATAAGAAAGGACTGAGGATGTAGCACAGTGGTAGAGTACCCCTGGGTTCGGTCCTCAGTCCTGGAAAAAAAAATTACATTGGTCCTGGTTATATGGGGCCTGCCTTTAATCTTAGTTATTCAGAAGGATAAGGCAGGAGGATCCAAGTTCTGGGCCAGCCTCTGCAACTTAGACCCTGTCTAAAAATAAAACAAAGCAGGGTGGATATGTAGCTCAATCATAGAGTGCTTGACTACCACGTGCAAGTCCCTGGGTTCAATCCCCAGCACCACCCACACACTCACCACACATACTTTCTCTCTCTCTCTCTCTCTCTCTCTCTCTCTCTCTCTCTCTCTCTAAAGAAACTATTAAATATTCTTTCATGCCAGATTCATCTTTGTTAAAAACTGGGAAAGCTTCTAGAGTAATAGGTTTTAAAGGATAAACAGAAATTTCCAGGACTTCAGTGGGGAAGGCGCTCGGAAAAAGCAAAATGTGGAGATTGTTATAAATTTTTTCTAAAGCCCAAATTCTAACATGGTTTATGATGCTTTCTTCTACCATACCTAAAATGCTACATTTGAGTCATGGAATTACCTGAGGTTCCTTAGTCTTTTTCCTTGCTCTGAGCCTTTGTACGTGTGATTATCTGTACTTGGGATGCCTTGTTTTCCTGATTTCCTTTAACTTGAATAATTTTTTTTTTAAATTTGTAGTTGTAGAGGGACAGCATGCCTTTATTTTATTTACTTATTTTTGTATGTGGTGCTGAGGATTGAACCCAGTGCCTCACATGTGCTAGGCAAGTGCTCTGTCACTGAGTCACAGCTCAGCCCCTAACTTGAATAATTTGCTTGTATTCTAGGTCTTATCTTTTTTTCTAAGTTTTATTTTAATATATATTTTTTAGTTGTAGATGGACACAAGACCTTATTTTATTTATTTATTTTTATGTGGTGCTGAGGATTGAACCCAGCGCCTCACACGTGCTAGGGAAGTGCTCTGTCACTGAGCTACAGCCTCAACCCCTCTAGGTCTTATCTTTAATGTCACCTCCTCTGGAATATTTTCCCTGATCACCTATTCTTTAATGCCAGTCTCCCAGGTCTGAATTAGATGTTCTATGTCTCCCTCAATACCCTAAATTCACTTCCGTATAGTGCTTGTAAAACTATTGAAATTTATTTTTACTCTTCTTCATTTTTCATTAAACCTGGAGCTCCTTACGAGTGGCACTGTATCTTCTCTGTTACTCCCAGGAACCTAAACTATGCTTAGCAGAGAATAAACCTCAGTAAATGGTTCTTTTTGTTTGTTTTTTATAGTACTGGGGATTGAACCTAGGGCCTTGCACATATGAGGCTAGTGCTCTACCGCTAGCTAAGCTAAATCCCCAGCCCTTTTTTAAATTTTATGTTGAGAAAGGGTCTTACTAAGTGCCCAGGTTATTCTCAAACTTGCAAGCCTCCTACCTTAGACTTCTGAGTTGTGAGATTACAAGCATGTGCCACTATGCCTGGCTAGTAAACATTTCTTAAATGAACAAATCCCTTAAAAATACCTACTGTGAAGAAAGATTGGTACCTTTCTGCATTTTCTTTCCATATCCAGCATTCTCCTGGTGTGCAGCCTGCAGATGTAAAGGAAGTTGCCGAGAAAGGTGTACAGGCCCTTGTGATTGGCCGAGGAATGAGTGAGGCCTTGAAGGTAGGTACTGGTGTGCACAGCATTCCTGAAGACAGCTGGTGATTTCTTGGGTCTTTACCTTACAGATATGTTCTTCTTTAGAGTTCATCTCTATATTTCATACACTGTCATTTTGTTGGCCGGTGGATGAGTAAAGACTGTATACACAATTCTATTTCATCAGAATTGGACTCTATAAATCTATCTAACCCTGAGATTCTGTAGTTTCATCTATCTCTACCCCAGAATTCCTAAAGTTCTACAATTATCAGTACAGTTATTTGTTGCTTAATGACAGGGGTATATTCTTGGCAGTGCATTCTTAGGTGATTTTGTTTTTCTCTAAGCATCATACCATGTACTTATGCAAAAAGGGCTACAGCATCACTGGATGCTATAATTTTATGGGACCACCATCATGTATGCCATCCATTATTTAATGAAAAGTCATTATGAAGCACATAACTGTATTTTATCCTTTATATTTTAATACTGTTTTACATTTTTAGAGTATACTTTATGGTGCTTTCTCTTTTCCTGGACACATTCACATTATGATTTTCCCCCTTTCAGAAAAAAATATTCATTTTTTATTTTGCTTACAGAAATAGAAATGCTAGCTGGGCATGGTGGAACACACCAGCAATACTAGCAACTCGGGAGGATGAGCCAGCCTCAGCAACTTAGTCAGGTCCTCAGCAACTTAGTGAGAACCTGTCTCAAAATAAATATAAAAAGAGCTGGGGATATAGCTGAGTAGTTAAGCACCCCTGGTTCTATCCTAGTACCAAAAAAAAAAAAAAAAGAAAGAAAGAATGAATATTGAATAAAGAACTAAAGAATATTGCAAAATATTCAAGGTTCAATGCAGAAATATAGAAGTAAAAGGTAAAAGGTCTTCCCTCCCCCATCTCTAAATTTGGTGATACTGCACTGATGTTCTTTATATGAATATGAAAATACATACACTCTTATATATATAGATATATATGTATGTACACTTACAACCATATTACAGAAATCAGAATCACACCGTATGTGTTGTTCTGTGACTTTCCCCCATTATTACCTTATAGATAACCTTCCACATAAGTATAGAGTATTAATAATTATAAAATATATAAAATATGTAATATAATTATATATTACAAGTATTATGTCTGTCTATAACTAAAAAATAAAAAATTCAAGACAAGCCAGAGTTAAGATAATACAATACAATAAAGGCTACCACTACTGAGAATATCTTCCATATAAATTCATTTACAAATATGTATTAAGTATTTTCTATAGGTCAGACACCTATAGTCACTGAGGACAATAAGATAAATGAAACAAACAAGTTTTATCCCCCTGTGGATAATAAAAAACTAGATAATTTCAGATGTTAAGTGCCATGTACAAAATGGTGACTTAATATGGGGGGGAGGGGCTGCATATGGGTGTTGAGAAAGGCCTTTCCTCTGAGAAGACATTGAACAGCACAGCACATGCATTAGTTAATGCTGTCTTTACATACTTGCTGTGGTGTAAGCATTGTTATTCATATTTTACAGGGCAGGAAATTGGGACTGAGACACTTTAAATAGCTGGTTGAAGGTCTTTTAGTTAGTATGTGACAGAATTTAGACTTAGGTTGAACCAACTCAAACTTCTAAAATTTACACAATGTAGGTTCTATACCATGCTAGACATTTTTCATACAGTAGCTCAGTTAATAACCCTCTGAGCTAGTTAGGTATTATCCTGAATTTACAGACATGGAAACAAAGGCTCAAAGAATTTAATTCACTTACCCAACATGAATCTGTTTATAAGGATTTAAATCCAAGGATGACTCCAGAATCCATGCTCTTCCCATTTCCATTTCACTTGAGCTTTATGCATGGCTATTAGGATGCTTTTGTCAACTTCTCAGAGGCCTTTTGGGGGCAGGGTGCTAAGAATTGAGCCCAGAGCTTCACGCATGTTAACACACATCCACCTGAGTTTCATCCCTTCTGAGGCCTTTTGACTCATTGGGGCTTACTGCCAAATGTTGGACTGGTGACATACTGGGTGACTGAGGAGTGACCGATGTTACTGTCTAACTCTGTAAAGTACACTTGCCTTATGTCAGGGCCTTTCCCCCTACTTACTCATCTCTTTTCCTCTTCCTAGGTGCCTCCATCCACTGTGGAGTACCTCAAGAAACAAGGCATTGATGTGCGGGTCCTCCAGACAGAGCAGGCAGTGAAGGAGTATAATGCTTTGGTTGCCCAAGGCATCAGAGTGGGAGGTGTCTTCCATTCCACCTGCTAATGTAGCCTTAAGAGGAGAATAAATCACTAAATTATCTTGCTTGTGACTGTCACACTGATCATTCTCCACACAAGCCTTCCCCATACATTTTTGAACATTTGTTCACACCAAGTCCTGTGCTAGACTCTTAGGGTAGATACCTGAATGATTAAGGCAAGGTCCCTGTCCTTGGAGTTGCTAAAAATAAGAAGAGACAGATATTTACTGAAGTTTAATAATGGAGTATTAGGCTGGAAGTATGAGAAACTTCAGACAAAAATAAAGGCTATCCTTGAAGGCTGAAGAAAATGCATTAAAATCACTTTGCAGTTGACACTTTGGAATGTTTATCCATCAACACGACTAATATTTTTAGTACTAGGGACTGAATCCAGAGGTACTTTACTACTGAGCTACATTCTCAGCCCTTTAAAAACAATTTTTTTTTGTACTGAGAATTGAACCCAGAGGTGCTTTACCATTGAGCCACATCCTCAGCCCTTTTTATATTTTATTTAGAGACGGGGTCACACTGAGTTGCTTAGCATCTTGCTTTTGCTAAGGCTGATTTTGAACTTGTGATCCTCCTGTCTCAGCCTCCAGAGCTACTGGGATTACAGGCATTCACCACTGTGCCTGGCTCATTTTATGGTTTTTAATATAACATTATTTTATAGATTCATAGAATGTTGGAGCTCAAAAGAACTTCTCATATTTATTCAGTAATTCTTTTGTGCCCATTTAATGAGTATGTTACAAATTTTCTTAGAACCAGTTGTTGCTGGACCCTGGAGGTCCAAGAGTATATAACTTTTAGTACTTGACCTCAGGATTTTTATGGCAGAAAAAAACTGACAATAGTAATACAGTGTGTTAATATTAATAGTAGTTACAAGGTCTACTGATGGCACAATGGAAAGACTTATCCTATTAGAATGTAAAAAAATTAGGGAAGATATCACCAAGTAGATGACAAGCTGAGTGTTAATGACATGTTTAATTCACTGAAAATCAACAGTGGCTGTTATAACCAGATATTTACTAATTATGGTATTTATCACAGCCATAACTAAATAAAATCACTCAAACTTAGTTGTTTGTTGAAGCAGCAACTCAAGAAGACTGATCCTGCTGCCTGGTTGGCCCAGTTAGGCATTGGACTGAGAGCCAACATAGACTGGAGAGCAGCTTAACATGCAGCTTGGCAAGAAAAGGTGCTAAGGCAATCAGAATGGAAAATGAAGGTATTTTTCCAACTTCAACCAGCACGTAACTGGCAGGGCCATGGTTATCTCTTTCTAGCATACATTGTGAGATCCCAAGAGGTCCCCAAGAACATCTCTTAAGCCTAACATAGAATCTAGTAGAGGTTCTGCTTAGTGACATTTCTGCAGCTCTTTCTGCATTTGTCAGTTGACAGGATCTTTCTAGATCCGTTCCCTTGGCTCATAGAGCCAGCTAGGAGGAAGGTTTGCTAGGTGTGGGTGTAATCATTCTGAGTTGTTTCTACACTAAAGAGAAATTAGTACAGACTTCTTACAAGTTTCTGGCAGTGAGGTTATTAAACTGTGTATAAAACCTGCTAAAAAATAGTGTATACCTTCAAATCTGGTCCATATGATCAGTGCTAGAAATATAGAGCCTGGAGAGAAACTCTTTTTCCCATGACACCATATTTAGTCCCATGTACTAATCATTAAATCCTTTGGTTCAATTTGTAGGCAGCACAGCCCTCAGTGTGCCCACATAATTTCTTCCAGCCTGAGTAGTTTCTAAGACAAGAAATCTACCAAGTGCAGTGTATGTATCTTTGTTCAATTCAATCATGTGAAAGCCAAATATAAAGATCTTTCAGAAATCTGAATTTCAGGGCTTGTTTCTATAGGCATGCCACGGTACTAAGTTTGCTCTGGATTCACATGCTCATTCATTCTTTCCTTGCCTGGTGTGTGCCAGGAGTTGTGCTAGGGATCCAACAACTCAAACATCCTTTTTTTTTAATGGAAATTATTATTTTTTAATACCTTTGTTTTTATTTATTTATTTGTATGTGGTGCTGAGGATCGAGCAGGGCCTTGCACATGCTAGGTGAGTGCTCTACCGCTGAGCCACAACCCCAGCCCCTCAAACATTCTTATTATCCAGGTATTCATAGATTAGTTGGAAGAAAGAGATATGTAAATATACAGTGATGACATAGAAGGTGCAAACTGGCATAAATTTGCCTGGAGACATGCTGTGTCTCAATAATTTTAACATTTAGTTACAAGATTTTTAAATTATTTTTACACAAAAATGCAGGGTGGAGGGCTGAGGTTGTCCTTCGGTGGTAGAGCGCTTACCTCTCACGTGTGTGAGACCCAGGGTTGGAACCCCAGCACCACATAAAATAAACAAAGATCTTGGGGCTGGGGTTGTGGTGGAGTGCTCCCCTGGCATGCTTGAGGCACTAAGTTCGATCCTTAGCACCACATAAATGTAAAATAAAGATATTGTGCCCACTTAAAACTAAAAAATAAATATTAAAAAAATAAAGATCTTGTGTCAATAACTAAGATATTTTTTAAAAATGCAGGGTGGCTTTTCTGGAAAAACTGAAAGATGTGGTACCACTAGGCCCACATTTACAGATTAACATTGAGTGGAGGTAGGCATGGTGGTGCATACCTGTAATCCCAGTGACTCAGGAGGCTGAGGCAGGAGGATTGCATGTTCAAAGCCAGCCTCAGCAATTTAGTGAGACCATCAACAACTTTAGTGAGACCGTCTCAAAATAAAAAAGGTTGGGGATGTAGCTCGATGATAAAGTGCCCCTGAGCTCAATCCCCAATACCAATAAATAAATATTGAGTATGATGGAACAACAGCTGCCTGCTTCTGACAGAGAATGTCTTCTCTGATTTTCAGTTGCCAAGATCTTCCTCTAGATCGCTGGATTCCTTTACTTTTCCTGTCCTCCTTCTTTAGGAGTTTGCATTTGTGAACCTGCAACATAATGACAAATACCTGGCTTGAACAATGTACAGGAGGCTGTGAGAACAAAGAGACAACAGAAGTTAGATATGTTCTACAATGAGGCCCAGTCCTGAGGAATTGGAGGAAAGGAACTAGAGGTGACCAATTGAAGAGCACATTCCAAGTTTCAGTAGATCTAAAGGTCTAAAAGGGAGTGAGACCATGGGGAGCTTTGGGAACAGCTGTAGGTACCTGTTCACCTAGAGGGGTACAGAGAAAGTCTGGGACAGGGTGTATGAGTCTGGAGACAAGCAGAGAGGCATGGACAGCCTTAGATTTTATCCTGGGACCAGTAGAGACATATTTAAAGGGACTTAAGCAGGATAATGGTGTGATCAGATCAGGGCTTTAAAAAATTTTACTCTAGGGATGGGAATATAGCTCAGTTGGTAAAGTGCTTGCCTTGCATGCACAAGGCCCTGGGTTCAATCCCCAGCACCACAAAAAAAGAAAACTTTTTTTTTTTTTTACTCTGATAGCTATATGAAAGATAGAGTGAAGTGAGCAAGACTGAAGCAAGAAGACCATTGGAAGGCCAATGTCATAGTTGAGAAATGATGGTGGCTGCATCAGGATAGCAACAGTGATTTTACAATGAGATGAAGACTGAGCCAGGCACAGTGGCACACACCTATAATCCCATCAACTTGGGAGGCTGAGGCAGGAGGATCACAAGTTCAAGGCCAGCCTGAGCAATTTAATGAGACCCTATCTCAAAATAAAAAATAACAAGGCCTGAGGTTGTAGCTCAGTGATAGAGTGGCCCTGTGTTTAATCTCCAGTACTGGAGAAAAAAGAGAGAGAAGAGGTTTGAGTCCAGAAACATTTAAGCAAGCAGAATCTAAAAGATATGATGTCTGCTCAGGTAAGGGATGAGGATAGAGTCCAGTGGAATCCAGTGCTCTGACTGCTGGATGAGCTAGACAACTTACTAGAAACAGTAGACTTCTGTTACAAAAATCCACATTAGAGAGGCTGGGGCTGGGGCTCAGTGGCAGAGCACTTGCCTAGCATGTGTGACACACTGGGTTCCATCTTTAGCGCCACATAAAATAAATAAATAAATAAAATAAAGGCATACTGTCCAACTTATACTATAATTTTTTTTTAACACATTAGAATCAGGAGGCCTAAGTTCCAGCCTTGGCTTTGCCACTCTAGCTCAGTCTCTCATGTTCACTTATAAATTAAGATTTCACACTGGAGGGCTGTTTATGCTCCTTTCTAGGCCTTTAGAAGATATTCAGTTAAAAAATGTGGAATGAGATGCAGTAAAATAAAAATTCTCATTTTCACTGCACCTGAGATTCTTAGGTATAAGAAGTTTAAAAGGTTAAGCTCACCCCCTCAAAAACTGAATTCCTCAGCAACAGACTTGTCAGGAGCTTGCTCAAGTCTGTCCAAACCCAGCCAGCATGGTGAATTCCATAGCTCCTAGTACACCCTGTTCAATTCTCACAGCTCAAAAATTTTCTTCTGATAAACTAAACCAGAACCTGCTCCTTAACGTATATCCACTTTTGGCAGAAAAATCACTACATTTTGGATTTTATTTTTCATTTTGAGAGAGGGTCTCACTAGGTTGCCCAGGCTAGCCTAAAAGTTACAATCTTCCTGCCTCAGCCTCCTGAGTTGCTGGGACTACAGGTATGCATGACCATGCCTGTCTTTGAAAAGATTTTTATAAGGGAGGTATTGTATCTGAAAAACAGTTAGCATATTCTTCTTTTAGAAGGCTTACAATAGTTACAGCATGATGGGCTCAGTCAGCAGCATTGAGTCTTAATGTTTTTGTCTATGCTCTAACTAACAACTGCCATCAGGTCAGGGCCTCAGTACAACTCAGCCAGCTTTGAGCTTCATTTTATCTCCATGGCAGATACCTCTTTCTGGGCGCATCCTGCTGTGTTGACCTGAGAATCTGTTGTGACATCCTTGAGATGTATTAAATAGGTGAGCACAGTATAAAAGTCCACCCCCTGGAGATTTCCCTTTCTCCCTCTAGAGCAGTTATGACCTCCTGGAGCCAGACTGCC